GAGAGTTAAGATGGGAGACCTTGCAGCAATATCACTGGAGGACATAATTGAGTTTTTCTGGGTAGGCAAATCCCCTGGCAGTATGATCCCCTGTAAATTTAACCTTAGCATTCATGTTCCCAGAGTTATTTCTTTGTACAACTTCAGTGGTTACAGGTATATAATTAGTGGTGTGTTAAAAAGTAGGAGGGTATACCCCTTGTGCTTTCCAGCATGGGATCAGGATTATCTTTTATTATCACTTCATTTGTTATGCTATTTGTTATGCTTCTGTTCAAAGAAGACTTATAAGTACTAGGTTCTGAGTTGAGGATTTCTGTGGGTATTGATCAACTTAAAATATGTTTTTTAGAACAACAGATAAATTTTCATGGGTCTGTGAGTATTAGTGAGGTGTACCTCAACACAGTGCATTGAGGATGTTAGTATTGAGTAGGATGCATGGGTTCCCCATGTCCAGAGACTGCCTTGGCCTTGCTGAAATGGGTTTTGAAGGCATAGAGGAGCTGTAAGAAGTTAAACTGGATAGAAGGTAGTTCTAACCATAGTTCAGATACTTTTCCTGGACAAAGGCTTGCATTCAGTATCAGAAACAGAAAGTCCCAAGGACAGACCCTAATGTTCTTGTGGCAGAACTCTGCCTGGCTTTTTCTTACCTACACTCCCTGGGGAGATGTAGAACAATGAAACTATTTTGTCCTGCTCATATCCAGGAGAGGCTGCTTTTCGGTAGCAAATGTGTAGCAACATGGACAGCAGATGACCTTGAAGAAAGAGATGAAGAACAGAAGCTGGGTACAGAGAGTTGCTCAGTGACTGAGAGATCCTGGGCATTTCCTGAGTGCAGAGCGAAGATGTGATGCTGCCCTGCTGAGAGAGAATGTCACCAGAGGTGATCCTAAAGATTCATAAGTGAGTTGCCCCGAGTACGAGTATATTTTGGTTACGTGAACATATTTTGGTAACCTCAGCATACTCGTTCCTGGGGTATACTTCTTGGTACGCCTTCAACATCCACAGGTGTTCCCTGCACACATCTCCTCAACGAATGTGCTCTGGTCACGAAGAACACTCTACGTGAGTCTTTGCTTCCCTTTAAGTGGTATTATTATTACAGTATCTGTTACCCTTGTGCTTTGGGGATGGGGAAGGGACAACTTTCATTTTCATTTGATTTGTTATGTTGTTTGATTGATGAAAATGTATTTTGTTTAAGCTAATATGTTCACTGATTGCCTGGTAAAAACAAAGTGATCAGTGACTGCGTCTGAGACATAGTTTGCATGGCTGATGACCCAGGATGCATTGACCCTGGGATTTTTTTCCCAGGTCCCAAGTATTAATGAGGTGCCTTTCAGGCTACATTCCTAGAGGGTTTGAATAATTTTTATTTGTATTTCCAAGGATCATGATTTGGTGCCTGGAATGCCTCTTGTCTCAGGTGTATAATATGGTTGTCCTTTGTGAATTTTATGGGTCACCAACTCTGGAGATACATGACCTTTTACAAAAGTTCTTTTTGTTTAGGTTTTTGCCTTTGGTTTTGCCAAATAGTCATGCTCCTTGAAGCCTCCTCTCACAGTGAATCTTCCAGTGCAAGAAAGGAAGGCAAACAACAGGGTAACTGCATCAAACAATTAGCATCTGTAACCTCTCCTTTTTACTCAGTGGATGGAAGAGTTTTTCATTAGGACATCAGTCACTGTTAGCATTGTTTTATTTTACTTTCTTAAAGTCATAATGCACATGATTCTTTTGGTTCTGATACTTTTCTTTCTATCAGGTGATTGACTTTTTTCCCATTTTTTCTCTTTATTTTTCACTGTGTCTTAAGGCACAATAATATTTTATTAATTTGCTGGCACAGTTTTGTTCTGCCATTCACAAAGCAATGGAGCACTTCTTTCTTTCCAGTTGTTTATTATTAAAGTGCTGCTCTGATTATTTTTGTAAGCAAATGATCTTTCTGTGTGACTTTTACTTACTTGAGGTATGTATCCAGTGGGAGCATCCCTGACTCCAAAGGTATGGACCATTTTACTTACTTTTCTTACATAATTGTTTTCCAGAATATTTCAGCTAGTTCAGACCTTACATATTACTACCTAAGATCTCAGTGGGGTATTGCTATAGTTTTTTTTTTTTCCACAGCTCCCTCCCACACAAATAAGTTCCTCTTTTATTATGTTTGCCACTTGGACATTTCACCATATATGTCTTAGGTTGTTTTAATTTCCCTTCCTCATACTATTCATACTTTTAGCAATCTTTCCTATGGCTATTCCAGAAGAAAAGCATCAACATGCTATTTGACTTGCCCTGGTTTATATAACTATACAACGAAGGTAGCAAATTCAGGCCAGAAATTAGAATCTTCTGACTCTAAGGTTACTGTGCATCTCCCATCAAGACTTACACTCTACATGTAGGGAAACTGCAGGTTTTCACACTGATTTAAATGAAGCCAAAAAAGGAGGCAGAGTGAGGATGATTTAATTGTGATGCTGATGGATGAATATAATAAAAGCATCAACATACACTCGTGTTGCTTAGGGAAAAGATGTTGTCACCTTCCCTTACTTTAAGTCTTCCATTGATTACTTTCTAGTCAATTGTAGTGAGGATGTTGTTAGTGGAGTAGGATTGTATATCTGTAGTGCCCAGCGATTTGCCTATGGGTTTAGTGAAATGGGCTTTGGAGGCATAGAACGCAATTAAAAAATTAAATAGGACTTACAAGGAGAGTCTAACCCCAGTTCAGATAATATCTTGGACAAGTACTTGCATTCAATCCTAGAAATAGGAAGTCTGAAAAATAGACTTTCAGTCTTTTTGTGGGTAACTCTGCCTGACTTTTACTTGCTTGTACTCCGCAGGGAGCTTTTGGAACAAAGCATCTGTTGTTTTACCTTATCCAGGAGTTTTCTGGCCACCATCTCTTAGTAGATGTGAGACAAGATGGGCAGCAGATGACCCTGAAGAGATGAAGTCCAAAAGCTGGTTGCAGAGAGAACTTGAATGACTTATCTGAGTGATTGATGAGTTTACATGTGATGCTGTGCTGAAGAGAGAGAAGAATCTTGATGACATGGACAATCCAGCAGCAGTGGAAATGAGTTGCCCCAGTTACGAGTATACCTTGGTTACACATCCTTGTACATGTAACCTCAGTATACTCGTTCCTGGTGTATACTTCTTTGTCCAAGTTCTCTGGCCACAGGTGTTTCCTGGAAATATTCCCAACAAATGTTCACTGATCACAGGTAGTTTCTAGCTGTTTCTGGGCTTCTTTATTACTGGTATTGTTATTGTACTTTGGACTTTGGGCTTTGGGAAAGACAATCTTTTAGTGTCACTTAATTTTACATACTATTTCACTGAAATTATTTTTGTTCAAAACAGTGTGTCTTCTTGGTAAATGTAAACTAATCAGTGGTAGCTCTTGAGGGATGGGTTGAATGGCTACTGACCTTGAATACTTTACAACCTGGGATAAGATCAGTGAGGTCCCTAGAGGCTATATACATAGAATTTGGAGCCTCATGATATGAAGTCTCAAATGCTTATTTCATATGGTTATTCTTTCACTGTATCGGTCACTGGTCCTGTTCCCTTCATCACTTTTCATGTGTAGATACAGAACCAATTTAAAGATTCTTTCTCTTCTTTTGGCCATTGATTTTTCCCACCAGTGACAGTTCCCTTGAAACCTGGTCCCCACTAGAGAATCTTCCCATGTTAGAAAGAACATGCAAACAATAGAGGAACTGCATCTGTCGCAACATTAGATCTATCCCACTGCTTTTATAGTAGGAGGATGGAAGAGCGTTTCATCATCATTTTTCTAACATTAATATTTGGAGCTCATGTAGCTGTTTTCGTTTTTTGTTTTTGCACTACTGGAATCATGATTATCTTTGGTCTGATTTTTTGTATGTATAATGTGAAACATCTTCCCTCATTTCTCTGAAGTTATCCTTTTTTTAAGGCATGATATTCCATTAATTCCTATAGCATATTTTATTGAGACATTCCCCAAGCAACGGGTCTCCACTCTTTTTGGCAACCATTAAAATTACCATTTAAGTATTTTTATGTGCTACATCTTTCCCTCTGTCTTTGAGTTCCTTGGGGTATATGTCCAGTAAGAACATGCCTGAGTATAAAAAAAAATGAACTCTTTTCATCATTTTTTCTTGCACAATTCTGAATTTTTTCAGAACAATTGAACTAGTTCATAACAATACTTTTGCTGAATTACTGTGCTTGTTTTCCCCCAGTCCCCTCCCACAATGAATTTTTCTATCTTATATTATCGTTGCTACTTAGGAATTTCTCTACATAGCCCTTGAAAGTTATTTTAATTTGTCTTTTTCATACTTTTAGTCTTTTTGCTTACCTTTCCTCTGTTGTGACAGAAACTTTATCAAGTGTCAAGATGTTATATGACTTGCCTTGGTTTCCAGAGCTATGAAGCATCAGATCCAGGACCCAAGCCAGCCTCTTCTGACTCTAAGGTCATTGTTCTTCCTTCAAGACTTAGACACCTATAAGGAGACGGTGATTGTTGCACACTGGTTAAAGGATGGCGTGGACTTGGGATTTTGTTGTTGTTATTGTTCTGTTGCTAATGAACAAATATAATAAAGGTGGCAATATGAGCAGGTATGATTAAGGCAAAAATACTGGCACATCCACTTACTTTGACACATCTTTAAATTTATTTCTTCATCAGTGCAGTGAAGATGTTAGTAGTAAGGTAATAGGCATCCCCAGTGTCTGGAGATTTCCTATGGAGTGTTATGATGGATTTCAGAAGCATAGAATTGCTGTGAGCAATTAGATGGGACTTAACAGGAAAATCTGACCCCAGGTCAGATAGTTTTCTTGGACAAGGACTTGCATTCAGTACTAGAAAGAAGTCCAGAGACTAGACCTAATTTTTTTTTTTTTTGTGGCAGAACTCTGCCTGGCTTTTGTTTATTTGTATTCCTCACAGAGTTTTGAAGAAAAAAACCAAACAAAACCAGGAGCTACAGTTCTACCCATATCCAAGAGAAGATGGTAACTCTACCATAGAAGATGTGAGGTAAGATGGACAGCAGATGACCCTGGAAGAGATGGAATCTAGAAGTTGGTTACAGAGATAAGCTCAATGACTATCAGCTCAGCAACATTTGTGAATAGAAAGGTGAGAACATGATGCTTCCCTGCAGAGAGATGCCAACAAGGGAGGACTTTGGCAGTCTGGCAGCCTCAGAACTGAGTTGCGCTGGGTACGAGTATCCTTCGGTCACGTGGCCGCCTACATGTGACCTTGGCATACCCGTCCCCAGTGTATACTTCTTAGCATAAGTTCAGCAGCCACAGATGGTTCACGTACGTACCCCCCATGAGTGTTCTTTGGTCGCATGTGCTCTCTAACTTTATCACTGTTCTCCTGTTGTTTTTATGAGAATAGATCTCTATTGCTTTTTTGGTAGCAGTTAGGAGGGAGGGGGAGAGAGAATCTTGTATTGTTCCTTTATTTGCTCTAAGGTTTGATTGAATATCTTTTATTTAAACTAATATGTCCTCTTATTACTTAGTAAAAGTAAATGCACCTGCACCATTGTTTTGGCTGGGCAGTAACCAAGTGTGCTTAGGATTTAGAGAGATTTGAAGGGCCCAAGGTATTAGTGAGATTTTCTGGGAACTATATGCATGGAAGAGTTTTAAAAAATTCTTATTTGTATTTCCAAGTATCATGATTTGGGACTTGAAATGCCTCTTATTTCAGGTATATTATATGGTTATTCTTTTTTTTTTCATTATTTGATTTTATTTATGTATTTATTTATTTAAATACAAAAAAAGAAAAGAAAACAAAAACACATTGCCATGTACACAACAGACCATAGCAGAGGATTCAATATAAAGCAATAAATTTTTGTTTCAAGAAAACATACATAATAAATACTAGACATTATTTCCAAAGCTGCCCAACTTTTCTTTGCATCCTCATTGGTTTTCTTTTGTTCTCTGCTGTGCACTTTTTACTTTATTTTTCCCCTTCTCCCTCCCAAAAAAAAGAAGACTATAATTAAGTGCACACACACACATACACAGGTATCCATAAACATATATATATATATATATATATATATATATACATAGATATGTAAGATCATATAATGCTTCTTTCCACTTATCATCTGTTTCTCAATAGGTGGATAGCATTTTCCTTCATAAGTCCAAGTCTTTCCATATTTTTCTATATCCACTCTATAGATTGTTTATGAGAGTTTTTTTCCCCCAATTTTTCTACATGCCCTCTATTCTTGGCTACACAGAGTTTTATTTATACAGGAAATTTTTAATTTAAAATAATCAAAATTATCCATTTTATTATTCAACACTGCCCTCACCTTATAATATGGCTTAAGGTCTGTTATTATTGATTCATATAGGCCACTGTTTCAATTCACTTCTTTCCCATTTATGTGTGTGTATACACATAAATATAACACAAACACAGATAACTTGCATATATAATATAGAGAGAGAATGGGGGTAGTGAGAAAGAGAAGAAAGTTTTTTCAAATTTTATCTTGTTTTTTTTTTTTTAATCATTGGGTTTTTTTTCACTAAGATATTTCCCTTGAAAGCATCTCTCTCCCCAAACCCTATCCCCACTGCTGAATCTTCCCATACAAAAAATAAAAGCTAGAGAATGAAGTATCTGAATCTGATCACGTAGGTGACATAGTAGATAGAACATTGGGCCTGGAGTCAGGAAGACTCATCTTCCTCAATTCAAATGAGTCCTTAGACACTTACTAATTATGTAACCCTGTTTGCCTCAGTTTCCTCATCTATAAAATGAAATGTAGAAGGAAATGGCAAACCACTCCAGGATCTTTGCCAAGAAAACCTCAAATGGCATCACAAAGGCTTGGACATGACTGAAAGACTGTACAATAACAACAACAAGCTATCTGATCAAAAAGCATCTGTTATCCTACCTTTTTATTCAGAGGATAAAAGAGGTTTTTCATTATTACTTCTCTGTGATCAAGACTGGGCTTCAGTCAGTTTTTAGAATTATTTTATTTTACATTGTGCAAGTCATTATGTATGTGAATTTCATGTTCTTTTCTTGGCATTAGGTGATTCATGTTATCCCCAGTTTCTCTGAATGTCTCATGTTTTCTTAAGGCACAGTGGTTTTTCATTAATTCATATAGCACAATTTGGTTAAACTGTACTCAAACTGGGGGCTCTAGCTTTCTAGTACTTTGCTATTGTTACAAGTGCTGCTTTAAATATTTTTGTATATACACGATCTTTCCTCTTTCTTTGATGTACTTGGAGTTTATGTCCTATAGAAGCATTTCTGAGCCAAAAGAAATGAATAATTTTAACCATTTTTGTGAAGTTATGAATTGTTTTCCAGAAAAATTGAACCATTTCAGAATTATGCCTTTGATGTATTACACCCCTTGTATTCCCATACTACTTTCCCACACTGGCTTTTTTTTCTTTTGCCACGTACACATTAAGGTAGTTTCAATTTGCCTTCATTATACTATTGGTTTTTATAGCCATCTTTCTTATGCTTATTTCATAAGAGATGTTATTTGACTTGACCTGGTTTACACAATTACAAAGTTTCAAGTTGAGGATCCAAACCAACGTCTTTTGAATCTAAGGTCACTTCTCTTTCCCGCATACCACAGATGCCTCTCCCAACAAGACTTATAGACATGGAGGGAAACCACAAGTTTTGGCACTGGCTTAAATACAGCAAAAAACAAAAGAGGTGAGTAGGGATTATTTTTTTCACTTGTGCTTCTGATGGATAAATATAATAAAGACATCAACATGGACCATTGTGATTTAGGGAAAAGACATTGTCGCCTTCTGTCACTTTTAATACAGAGGTTCTCAAACTTATTTAGCCTACTGACCCTTTTTCAAAACAAGTTATTCAGTGGGCCCCTGGAAATCTACTTTCTTTAACCCTGAAATGATTTTTGAAATTTGAAACATTTCAAAACAATATAAAATATTTTTAAATGATGCATCTTATATTTAACAATTCATTGTAAATTTGTTGGTTTTTTCCTGCATTGAAATTTTGATGACACAATATTGCATCATACAACCATAAAGTATTGTATTATAAACAAGTCATTACACACACATATTCCTGATGATGCATGCTGGACTTGCTTGTTAACACCTGTTGGCAGACTTGACTACTGATAGGTTATAACTTGCATTTTTTGTGTTTGTTTGGAAAATAATGTAATCACTACAACTTTAACTGTTACACAATGATGAAACATGTATAAATGTTTTTTCAAAAATTTCTTCTCTTCTTTCCTTATGCTTTTACCACATCTTTATTTTTATTCAGTGTCCCCCAATTGTACCCAAGTCTACTCCTGTCCCCCTGGACACTCTTAAGGGGGTGGTATCACCCACTTTGGGAACCTCTGTTTAATGAGTCTTCCTTAGATTAATTTACATTTCATTGTAGTGAAGATGTTAGTATTGAGTAGGATGCATGGGTTCCCCATGTCCAGAGACTGCCTTGGCCTTGCTGAAATGGGTTTTGAAGGCATAGAAGAGCTGTAAGAAGTTAAACTGGATACAAGGTAGTTCTAACCATAGTTCAGATACTTTTCTTGGACAAAGACTTGCATTCAGTATCAGAAACAGAAAGTCCCAAGGACAGACCCTAATGTTCTTGTGGCAGAACTCTGCCTGGCTTTTTCTTACCTACACTCCCTGGGGAGATGTAGAACAATGAAACTATTTTGTCCTGCTCATATCCAGGAGAGGCTGCTTTTCGGTAGCAAATGTGTAGCAACATGGACAGCAGATGACCTTGAAGAAAGAGATGAAGAACAGAAGCTGGGTACAGAGAGTTGCTCAGTGACTGAGAGATCCTGGGCATTTCCTGAGTGCAGAGCGAAGATGTGATGCTGCCCTGCTGAGAGAGAATGTCACCAGAGGTGATCCTAAAGATTCATAAGTGAGTTGCCCCGAGTATGAGTATATTTTGGTTACGTGAACATATTTTGGTAACCTCAGCATACTCGTTCCTGGGGTATACTTCTTGGTACGCCTTCAACATCCACAGGTGTTCCCTGCACACATCTCCTCAACGAATGTGCTCTGGTCACGAAGAACACTCTACGTGAGTCTTTGCTTCCCTTTAAGTGGTATTATTATTACAGTATCTGTTACCCTTGTGCTTTGGGGATGGGGAAGGGACAACTTTCATTTTCATTTGATTTGTTATGTTGTTTGATTGATGAAATGTATTTTGTTTAAGCTAATATGTTCACTGATTGCCTGGTAAAAACAAAGTGATCAGTGACTGCGTCTGAGACATAGTTTGCATGGCTGATGACCCAGGATGCATTGACCCTGGGATTTTTTTCCCAGGTCCCAAGTATTAATGAGGTGCCTTTCAGGCTACATTCCTAGAGGGTTTGAATAATTTTTATTTGTATTTCCAAGGATCATGATTTGGTGCCTGGAATGCCTCTTGTCTCAGGTGTATAATATGGTTGTCCTTTGTGAATTTTATGGGTCACCAACTCTGGAGATACATGACCTTTTACAAAAGTTCTTTTTGTTTAGGTTTTCGCCTTTGGTTTTGCCAAATAGTCATGTTCCTTGAAGCCTCCTCTCACTAGTGAATCTTCCAGTGCAAGAAAGGAAGGCAAACAACAGGGTAACTGCATCAAACAATTAGCATCTGTAACCTCTCCTTTTTACTCAGTGGATGGAAGAGTTTTTCATTAGGACATCAGTCACTGTTAGCATTGTTTTATTTTACTTTCTTAAGTCATAATGCACATGATTCTTTTGGTTCTGATACTTTTCTTTCTATCAGGTGATTGACTTTTTTCCCATTTTTTCTCTTTATTTTTCACTGTGTCTTAAGGCACAATAATATTTGTTAATTTGCTGGCACAGTTTTGTTCTGCCATTCACAAAGCAATGGAGCACTTCTTTCTTTCCAGTTGTTTATTATTAAAGTGCTGCTCTGATTATTTTTGTAAGCAAATGATCTTTCTGTGTGACTTTTACTTACTTGAGGTATGTATCCAGTGGGAGCATCCCTGACTCCAAAGGTATGGACCATTTTACTTACTTTTCTTACATAATTGTTTTCCAGAATATTTCAGCTAGTTCAGACCTTATATATTACTACCTAAGATCTCAGTGGGGTATTGCTATAGTTTTTTTTTTTTCCACAGCTCCCTCCCACACAAATAAGTTCCTCTTTTATTATGTTTGCCACTTGGACATTTCACCATATATGTCTTAGGTTGTTTTAATTTCCCTTCCTCATACTATTCATACTTTTAGCAATCTTTCCTATGGCTATTCCAGAAGAAAAGCATCAACATGCTATTTGACTTGCCCTGGTTTATATAACTATACACGAGGTAGCAAATTCAGGCCAGAAATTAGAATCTTCTGACTCTAAGGTTACTGTGCATCTCCATCAAGACTTACACTCTACATGTAGGGAAACTGCAGGTTTTCACACTGATTTAAATGAAGCCAAAAAAGGAGGCAGAGTGAGGATGATTTAATTGTGATGCTGATGGATGAATATAATAAAAGCATCAACATACACTCGTGTTGCTTAGGGAAAAGATGTTGTCACCTTCCCTTACTTTAAGTCTTCCATTGATTACTTTCTAGTCAATTGTAGTGAGGATGTTGTTAGTGGAGTAGGATTGTATATCTGTAGTGCCCAGCGATTTGCCTATGGGCTTTGGAGGCATAGAACGCAATTAAAAAATTAAATAGGACTTACAAGGAGAGTCTAACCCCAGTTCAGATAATATCTTGGACAAGTACTTGCATTCAATCCTAGAAATAGGAAGTCTGAAAAATAGACTTTCAGTCTTTTTGTGGGTAACTCTGCCTGACTTTTACTTGCTTGTACTCCGCAGGGAGCTTTTGGAACAAAGCATCTGTTGTTTTACCTTATCCAGGAGTTTTCTGGCCACCATCTCTTAGTAGATGTGAGACAAGATGGGCAGCAGATGACCCTGAAGAGATGAAGTCCAAAAGCTGGTTGCAGAGAGAACTTGAATGACTTATCTGAGTGATTGATGAGTTTCATGTGATGCTGTGCTGAGAGAGAAGAATCTTGATGACATGGACAATCCAGCAAGCAGTGGAAATGAGTTGCCCCAGTTACGAGTATACCTTGGTTACACATCCTTGTACATGTAACCTCAGTATACTCGTTCCTGGTGTATACTTCTTTGTCCAAGTTCTCTGGCCACAGGTGTTTCCTGGAAATATTCCCAATAAATGTTCACTGATCACAGGTAGTTTCTAGCTGTTTCTGGGCTTCTTTATTACTGGTATTGTTATTGTACTTTGGACTTTGGGCTTTGGGAAAGACAATCTTTTAGTGTCACTTAATTTTACATACTATTTCACTGAAATTATTTTTGTTCAAAACAGTGTGTCTTCTTGGTAAATGTAAACTAATCAGTGGTAGCTCTTGAGGGATGGGTTGAATGGCTACTGACCTTGAATACTTTACAACCTGGGATAAGATCAGTGAGGTCCCTAGAGGCTATATACATAGAATTTGGAGCCTCATGATATGAAGTCTCAAATGCTTATTTCATATGGTTATTCTTTCACTGTATTGGTCACTGGTCCTGTTCCCTTCATCACTTTTCATGTGTAGATACAGAACCAATTTAAAGATTCTTTCTCTTCTTTTGGCCATTGATTTTTCCCACCAGTGACAGTTCCCTTGAAACCTGGTCCCCACTAGAGAATCTTCCCATGTTAGAAAGAACATGCAAACAATAGAGGAACTGCATCTGTCGCAACATTAGATCTATCCCACTGCTTTTATAGTAGGAGGATGGAAGAGCGTTTCATCATCATTTTTCTAACATTAATATTTGGAGCTCATGTAGCTGTTTTCGTTTTTTGTTTTTGCACTACTGGAATCATGATTATCTTTGGTCTGATTTTTTGTATGTATAATGTGAAACATCTTCCCTCATTTCTCTGAAGTTATCCTTTTTTTTAAGGCATGATATTCCATTAATTCCTATAGCATATTTTATTGAGACATTCCCCAAGCAACGGGTCTCCACTCTTTTTGGCAACCATTAAAATTACCATTTAAGTATTTTTATGTGCTACATCTTTCCCTCTGTCTTTGAGTTCCTTGGGGTATATGTCCAGTAAGAACATGCCTGAGTATAAAAAAAAAATGAACTCTTTTCATCATTTTTTCTTGCACAATTCTGAATTTTTTCAGAACAATTGAACTAGTTCATAACAATACTTTTGCTGAATTACTGTGCTTGTTTTCCCCCAGTCCCCTCCCACAATGAATTTTTCTATCTTATATTATCGTTGCTACTTAGGAATTTCTCTACATAGCCCTTGAAAGTTATTTTAATTTGTCTTTTTCATACTTTTAGTCTTTTTGCTTACCTTTCCTCTGTTGTGACAGAAACTTTATCAAGTGTCAAGATGTTATATGACTTGCCTTGGTTTCCAGAGCTATGAAGCATCAGATCCAGGACCCAAGCCAGCCTCTTCTGACTCTAAGGTCATTGTTCTTCCTTCAAGACTTAGACACCTATAAGGAGACGGTGATTGTTGCACACTGGTTAAAGGATGGCGTGGACTTGGGATTTTGTTGTTGTTATTGTTCTGTTGCTAATGAACAAATATAATAAAGGTGGCAATATGAGCAGGTATGATTAAGGCAAAAATATTGGCACATCCACTTACTTTGACACATCTTTAAATTTATTTCTTCATCAGTGCAGTGAAGATGTTAGTAGTAAGGTAATAGGCATCCCCAGTGTCTGGAGATTTCCTATGGAGTGTTATGATGGATTTCAGAAGCATAGAATTGCTGTGAGCAATTAGATGGGACTTAACAGGAAAATCTGACCCCAGGTCAGATAGTTTTCTTGGACAAGGACTTGCATTCAGTACTAGAAAGAAGTCCAGAGACTAGACCTAATTTTTTTTTTTTTTGTGGCAGAACTCTGCCTGGCTTTTGTTTATTTGTATTCCTCACAGAGTTTTGAAGAAAAAAACCAAACAAAACCAGGAGCTACAGTTCTACCCATATCCAAGAGAAGATGGTAACTCTACCATAGAAGATGTGAGGTAAGATGGACAGCAGATGACCCTGGAAGAGATGGAATCTAGAAGTTGGTTACAGAGATAAGCTCAATGACTATCAGCTCAGCAACATTTGTGAATAGAAAGGTGAGAACATGATGCTTCCCTGCAGAGAGATGCCAACAAGGGAGGACTTTGGCAGTCTGGCAGCCTCAGAACTGAGTTGCGCTGGGTACGAGTATCCTTCGGTCACGTGGCCGCCTACATGTGACCTTGGCATACCCGTCCCCAGTGTATACTTCTTAGCATAAGTTCAGCAGCCACAGATGGTTCATACGTACCCCCCATGAGTGTTCTTTGGTCGCATGTGCTCTCTAACTTTATCACTGTTCTCCTGTTGTTTTTATGAGAATAGATCTCTATTGCTTTTTTGGTAGCAGTTAGGAGGGAGGGGGAGAGAGAATCTTGTATTGTTCCTTTATTTGCTCTAAGGTTTGATTGAATATCTTTTATTTAAACTAATATGTCCTCTTATTACTTAGTAAAAGTAAATGCACCTGCACCATTGTTTTGGCTGGGCAGTAACCAAGTGTGCTTAGGATTTAGAGAGATTTGAAGGGCCCAAGGTATTAGTGAGATTTTCTGGGAACTATATGCATGGAAGAGTTTTAAAAAATTCTTATTTGTATTTCCAAGTATCATGATTTGGGACTTGAAATGCCTCTTATTTCAGGTATATTATATGGTTATTCTTTTTTTTTTCATTATTTGATTTTATTTATGTATTTATTTATTTAAATACAAAAAAGAAAAGAAAACAAAAACACATTGCCATGTACACAACAGACCATAGCAGAGGATTCAATATAAAGCAATAAATTTTTGTTTCAAGAAAACATACATAATAAATACTAGACATTATTTCCAAAGCTGCCCAACTTTTCTTTGCATCCTCATTGGTTTTCTTTTGTTCTCTGCTGTGCACTTTTTACTTATTTTTCCCCTTCTCCCTCCCAAAAAAAGAAGACTATAATTAAGTGCACACACACACATACACAGGTATCCATAAACATATATATATATATATATATATATACATAGATATGTAAGATCATATAATGCTTCTTTCCACTTATCATCTGTTTCTCAATAGGTGGATAGCATTTTCCTTCATAAGTCCAAGTCTTTCCATATTTTTCTATATCCACTCTATAGATTGTTTATGAGAGTTTTTTTCCCCCAATTTTTCTACATGCCCTCTATTCTTGGCTACACAGAGTTTTATTTATACAGGAAATTTTTAATTTAAAATAATCAAAATTATCCATTTTATTATTCAACACTGCCCTCACCTTATAATATGGCTTAAGGTCTGTTATTATTGATTCATATAGGCCACTGTTTCAATTCACTTCTTTCCCATTTATGTGTGTGTATACACATAAATATAACACAAACACAGATAACTTGCATATATAATATAGAGAGAGAATGGGGTAGTGAGAAAGAGAAGAAAGTTTTTTCAAATTTTATCTTGTTTTTTTTTTTTAATCATTGGGTTTTTTTTCACTAAGATATTTCCCTTGAAAGCATCTCTCTCCCCAAACCCTATCCCCACTGCTGAATCTTCCCATACAAAAAATAAAAGCTAGAGAATGAAGTATCTGAATCTGATCACGTAGGTGACATAGTAGATAGAACATTGGGCCTGGAGTCAGGAAGACTCATCTTCCTCAATTCAAATGAGTCCTTAGACACTTACTAATTATGTAACCCTGTTTGCCTCAGTTTCCTCATCTATAAAATGAAATGTAGAAGGAAATGGCAAACCACTCCAGGATCTTTGCCAAGAAAACCTCAAATGGCATCACAAAGGCTTGGACATGACTGAAAGACTGTACAATAACAACAACAAGCTATCTGATCAAAAAGCATCTGTTATCCTACCTTTTTATTCAGAGGATAAAAGAGGTTTTTCATTATTACTTCTCTGTGATCAAGACTGGGCTTCAGTCAGTTTTTAGAATTATTTTATTTTACATTGTGCAAGTCATTATGTATGTGAATTTCATGTTCTTTTCTTGGCATTAGGTGATTCATGTTATCCCCAGTTTCTCTGAATGTCTCATGTTTTCTTAAGGCACAGTGGTTTTTCATTAATTCATATAGCACAATTTGGTTAAACTGTACTCAAACTGGGGGCTCTAGCTTTCTAGTACTTTGCTATTGTTACAAGTGCTGCTTTAAATATTTTTGTATATACACGATCTTTCCTCTTTCTTTGATGTACTTGGAGTTTATGTCCTATAGAAGCATTTCTGAGCCAAAAGAAATGAATAATTTTAACCATTTTTGTGAAGTTATGAATTGTTTTCCAGAAAAATTGAACCATTTCAGAATTATGCCTTTGATGTATTACACCCCTTGTATTCCCATACTACTTTCCCACACTGGCTTTTTTTTCTTTTGCCACGTACACATTAAGGTAGTTTCAATTTGCCTTCATTATACTATTGGTTTTTATAGCCATCTTTCTTATGCTTATTTCATAAGAGATGTTATTTGACTTGACCTGGTTTACACAATTACAAAGTTTCAAGTTGAGGATCCAAACCAACGTCTTTTGAATCTAAGGTCACTTCTCTTTCCCGCATACCACAGATGCCTCTCCCAACAAGACTTATAGACATGGAGGGAAACCACAAGTTTTGGCACTGGCTTAAATACAGCAAAAAACAAAGAGGTGAGTAGGGATTATTTTTTTCACTTGTGCTTCTGATGGATAAATATAATAAAGACATCAACATGGACCATTGTGATTTAGGGAAAAGACATTGTCGCCTTCTGTCACTTTTAATACAGAGGTTCTCAAACTTATTTAGCCTACTGACCCTTTTTCAAAACAAGTTATTCAGTGGGCCCCTGGAAATCTACTTTCTTTAACCCTGAAATGATTTTTGAAATTTGAAACATTTCAAAACAATATAAAATATTTTAAATGATGCATCTTATATTTAACAATTCATTGTAAATTTGTTGGTTTTTCCTGCATTGAAATTTTGATGACACAATATTGCATCATACAACCATAAAGTATTGTATTATAAACAAGTCATTACACACACATATTCCTGATGATGCATGCTGGACTTGCTTGTTAACACCTGTTGGCAGACTTGACTACTGATAGGTTATAACTTGCATTTTTTGTGTTTGTTTGGAAAATAATGTAATCACTACAACTTTAACTGTTACACAATGATGAAACATGTATAAATTTTTTCAAAAATTTCTTCTCTTCTTCCTTATGCTTTTACCACATCTTTATTTTTATTCAGTGTCCCCCAATTGTACCCAAGTCTACTCCTGTCCCCCTGGACACTCTTAAGGGGGTGGTATCACCACTTTGGGAACCTCTGTTTAATGAGTCTTCCTTAGATTAATTTACATTTCATTGTAGTGAAGATGTTAGTATTGAGTAGGATGCATGGGTTCCCCATGTCCAGAGACTGCCTTGGCCTTGCTGAAATGGGTTTTGAAGGCATAGAAGAGCTGTAAGAAGTTAAACTGGATACAAGGTAGTTCTAACCATAGTTCAGATACTTTTCTTGGACAAAGACTTGCATTCAGTATCAGAAACAGAAAGTCCAAGGACAGACCCTAATGTTCTTGTGGCAGAACTCTGCCTGGCTTTTTCTTACCTACACTCCCTGGGGAGATGTAGAACAATGAAACTATTTTGTCCTGCTCATATCCAGGAGAGGCTGCTTTTCGGTAGCAAATGTGTAGCAACATGGACAGCAGATGACCTTGAAGAAAGAGATGAAGAACAGAAGCTGGGTACAGAGAGTTGCTCAGTGACTGAGAGATCCTGGGCATTTCCTGAGTGCAGAGCGAAGATGTGATGCTGCCCTGCTGAGAGAGAATGTCACCAGAGGTGATCCTAAAGATTCATAAGTGAGTTGCCCCGAGTATGAGTATATTTTGGTTACGTGAACATTTTTGGTAACCTCAGCATACTCGTTCCTGGGGTATACTTCTTGGTACGCCTTCAACATCACAGGTGTTCCCTGCACACATCTCCTCAACGAATGTGCTCTGGTCACGAAGAACACTCTACGTGAGTCTTTGCTTCCTTTAAGTGGTTTATTATTACAGTATCTGTTACCCTTGTGCTTTGGGGATGGGGAAGGGACAACTTTCATTTTCATTTGATTTGTTATGTTGTTTGATTGATGAAATGTATTTTGTTTAAGCTAATATGTTCATGATTGCCTGGTAAAAACAAAGTGATCAGTGACTGCGTCTGAGACATAGTTTGCATGGCTGATGACCCAGGATGCATTGACCCTGGATTTTTTTCCCAGGTCCCAAGTATTAATGAGGTGCCTTTCAGGCTACATTCCTAGAGGGTTTGAATAATTTTTATTTGTATTTCCAAGGATCATGATTTGGTGCCTGGAATGCCTCTTGTCTCAGGTGTTTAATATGGTTGTCCTTTGTGAATTTTATGGGTCACCAACTCTGGAGATACATGACCTTTTACAAAAGTTCTTTTTGTTTAGGTTTTCGCCTTTGTGGTTTGCCAAATAGTCATGTTCCTTGAAGCCTCCTCTCACTAGTGAATCTTCCAGTGCAAGAAGAAGGCAAACAACAGGTAACTGCATCAAACAATTAGCATCTGTAACCTCTCCTTTTTACTCAGTGGATGGAAGAGTTTTTCATTAGGACATCAGTCACTGTTAGCATTGTTTTATTGTACTTTCTTAAAGTCATAATGCACATGATTCTTTTGGTTCTGATACTTTTCTTTCTATCAGGTGATTGACTTTTTCCCATTTTTTCTCTTTATTTTTCACTGTGTCTTAAGGCACAATAATATTTTTTAATTTGCTGGCACAGTTTTGTTCTGCCATTCACAAAGCAATGGAGCACTTCTTTCTTTCCAGTTGTTTATTATTAAAGTGCTGCTCTGATTATTTTTGTAAGCAAATGATCTTTCTGTGTGACTTTTACTTACTTGAGGTATGTATCCAGTGGGAGCATCCCTGACTCCAAAGGTATGGACCATTTTACTTACTTTTCTTACATAATTGTTTTCCAGAATATTTCAGCTAGTTCAGACCTTATATATTACTACCTAAGATCTCAGTGGGGTATTGCTATAGTTTTTTTTTTTCCACAGCTCCCTCCCACACAAATAAGTTCCTCTTTTATTATGTTTGCCACTTGGACATTTCACCATATATGTCTTAGGTTGTTTTAATTTCCCTTCCTCATACTATTCATACTTTTAGCAATCTTTCCTATGGCTATTCCAGAAGAAAAGCATCAACATGCTATTTGACTTGCCCTGGTTTATATAACTATACAACGAAGGTAGCAAATTCAGGCCAGAAATTAGAATCTTCTGACTCTAAGGTTACTGTGCATCTCCCATCAAGACTTACACTCTACATGTAGGGAAACTGCAGGTTTTCACACTGATTTAAATGAAGCCAAAAAAGGAGGCAGAGTGAGGATGATTTAATTGTGATGCTGATGGATGAATATAATAAAAGCATCAACATACACTCGTGTTGCTTAGGGAAAAGATGTTGTCACCTTCCCTTACTTTAAGTCTTCCATTGATTACTTTCTAGTCAATTGTAGTGAGGATGTTGTTAGTGGAGTAGGATTGTATATCTGTAGTGCCCAGCGATTTGCCTATGGGCTTTGGAGGCATAGAACGCAATTAAAAAATTAAATAGGACTTACAAGGAGAGTCTAACCCCAGTTCAGATAATATCTTGGACAAGTACTTGCATTCAATCCTAGAAATAGGAAGTCTGAAAAATAGACTTTCAGTCTTTTTGTGGGTAACTCTGCCTGACTTTTACTTGCTTGTACTCCGCAGGGAGCTTTTGGAACAAAGCATCTGTTGTTTTACCTTATCCAGGAGTTTTCTGGCCACCATCTCTTAGTAGATGTGAGACAAGATGGGCAGCAGATGACCCTGAAGAGATGAAGTCCAAAAGCTGGTTGCAGAGAGAACTTGAATGACTTATCTGAGTGATTGATGAGTTTACATGTGATGCTGTGCTGAAGAGAGAGAAGAATCTTGATGACATGGACAATCCAGCAGCAGTGGAAATGAGTTGCCCCAGTTACGAGTATACCTTGGTTACACATCCTTGTACATGTAACCTCAGTATACTCGTTCCTGGTGTATACTTCTTTGTCCAAGTTCTCTGGCCACAGGTGTTTCCTGGAAATATTCCCAATAAATGTTCACTGATCACAGGTAGTTTCTAGCTGTTTCTGGCTTCTTTATTACTGGTATTGTTATTGTACTTTGGACTTTGGGCTTTGGGAAAGACAATCTTTTAGTGTCACTTAATTTTACATACTATTTCACTGAAATTATTTTTGTTCAAAACAGTGTGTCTTCTTGGTAAATGTAAACTAATCAGTGGTAGCTCTTGAGGGATGGGTTGAATGGCTACTGACCTTGAATACTTTACAACCTGGGATAAGATCAGTGAGGTCCCTAGAGGCTATATACATAGAATTTGGAGCCTCATGATATGAAGTCTCAAATGCTTATTTCATATGGTTATTCTTTCACTGTATCGGTCACTGGTCCTGTTCCCTTCATCACTTTTCATGTGTAGATACAGAACCAATTTAAAGATTCTTTCTCTTCTTTTGGCCATTGATTTTTCCCACCAGTGACAGTTCCCTTGAACCTGGTCCCCACTAGAGAATCTTCCCATGTTAGAAAGAACATGCAAACAATAGAGGAACTGCATCTGTCGCAACATTAGATCTATCCCACTGCTTTTATAGTAGGAGGATGGAAGAGCGTTTCATCATCATTTTTCTAACATTAATATTTGGAGCTCATGTAGCTGTTTTCGTTTTTTGTTTTTGCACTACTGGAATCATGATTATCTTTGGTCTGATTTTTTGTATGTATAATGTGAAACATCTTCCCTCATTTCTCTGAAGTTATCCTTTTTTTAAGGCATGATATTCCATTAATTCCTATAGCATATTTTATTGAGACATTCCCCAAGCAACGGGTCTCCACTCTTTTTGGCAACCATTAAAATTACCATTTAAGTATTTTTATGTGCTACATCTTTCCCTCTGTCTTTGAGTTTTGGGGTATATGTCCAGTAAGAACATGCCTGAGTATAAAAAAAAATGAACTCTTTTCATCATTTTTTCTTGCACAATTCTGAATTTTTTCAGAACAATTGAACTAGTTCATAACAATACTTTTGCTGAATTACTGTGCTTGTTTTCCCCCAGTCCCCTCCCACAATGAATTTTTCTATCTTATATTATCGTTGCTACTTAGGAATTTCTCTACATAGCCCTTGAAAGTTATTTTAATTTGTCTTTTTCATACTTTTAGTCTTTTTGCTTACCTTTCCTCTGTTGTGACAGAAACTTTATCAAGTGTCAAGATGTTATATGACTTGCCTTGGTTTCCAGAGCTATGAAGCATCAGATCCAGGACCCAAGCCAGCCTCTTCTGACTCTAAGGTCATTGTTCTTCCTTCAAGACTTAGACACCTATAAGGAGACGGTGATTGTTGCACACTGGTTAAAGGATGGCGTGGACTTGGGATTTTGTTGTTGTTATTGTTCTGTTGCTAATGAACAAATATAATAAAGGTGGCAATATGAGCAGGTATGATTAAGGCAAAAATATTGGCACATCCAGTTACTTTGACACATCTTTAAATTTATTTCTTCATCAGTGCAGTGAAGATGTTAGTAGTAAGGTAATAGGCATCCCCAGTGTCTGGAGATTTCCTATGGAGTGTTATGATGGATTTCAGAAGCATAGAATTGCTGTGAGCAATTAGATGGGACTTAACAGGAAAATCTGACCCCAGGTCAGATAGTTTTCTTGGACAAGGACTTGCATTCAGTACTAGAAAGAAGTCCAGAGACTAGACCTAATTTTTTTTTTTTTTGTGGCAGAACTCTGCCTGGCTTTTGTTTATTTGTATTCCTCACAGAGTTTTGAAGAAAAAAACCAAACAAAACCAGGAGCTACAGTTCTACCCATATCCAAGAGAAGATGGTAACTCTACCATAGAAGATGTGAGGTAAGATGGACAGCAGATGACCCTGGAAGAGATGGAATCTAGAAGTTGGTTACAGAGATAAGCTCAATGACTATCAGCTCAGCAACATTTGTGAATAGAAAGGTGAGAACATGATGCTTCCCTGCAGAGAGATGCCAACAAGGGAGGACTTTGGCAGTCTGGCAGCCTCAGAACTGAGTTGCGCTGGGTACGAGTATCTTCGGTCACGTGGCCGCCTACATGTGACCTTGGCATACCCGTCCCCAGTGTATACTTCTTAGCATAAGTTCAGCAGCCACAGATGGTTCACGTACGTACCCCCCATGAGTGTTCTTTGGTCGCATGTGCTCTCTAACTTTATCACTGTTCTCCTGTTGTTTTTATGAGAATAGATCTCTATTGCTTTTTTGGTAGCAGTTAGGAGGGAGGGGGAGAGAGAATCTTGTATTGTTCCTTTATTTGCTCTAAGGTTTGATTGAATATCTTTTATTTAAACTAATATGTCCTCTTATTACTTAGTAAAAGTAAATGCACCTGCACCATTGTTTTGGCTGGGCAGTAACCAAGTGTGCTTAGGATTTAGAGAGATTTGAAGGGCCCAAGGTATTAGTGAGATTTTCTGGGAACTATATGCATGGAAGAGTTTTAAAAAATTCTTATTTGTATTTCCAAGTATCATGATTTGGGACTTGAAATGCCTCTTATTTCAGGTATATTATATGGTTATTCTTTTTTTTTTCATTATTTGATTTTATTTATGTATTTATTTATTTAAATACAAAAAAAGAAAAGAAAACAAAAACACATTGCCATGTACACAACAGACCATAGCAGAGGATTCAATATAAAGCAATAAATTTTTGTTTCAAGAAAACATACATAATAAATACTAGACATTATTTCCAAAGCTGCCCAACTTTTCTTTGCATCCTCATTGGTTTTCTTTTGTTCTCTGCTGTGCACTTTTTACTTTATTTTTCCCCTTCTCCCTCCCAAAAAAAGAAGACTATAATTAAGTGCACACACACACATACACAGGTATCCATAAACATATATATATATATATATATATATACATAGATATGTAAGATCATATAATGCTTCTTTCCACTTATCATCTGTTTCTCAATAGGTGGATAGCATTTTCCTTCATAAGTCCAAGTCTTTCCATATTTTTCTATATCCACTCTATAGATTGTTTATGAGAGTTTTTTTCCCCCAATTTTTCTACATGCCTCTATTCTTGGCTACACAGAGTTTTATTTATACAGGAAATTTTTAATTTAAAATAATCAAAATTATCCATTTTATTATTCAACACTGCCCTCACCTTATAATATGGCTTAAGGTCTGTTATTATTGATTCATATAGGCCACTGTTTCAATTCACTTCTTTCCCATTTATGTGTGTGTATACACATAAATATAACACAAACACAGATAACTTGCATATATAATATAGAGAGAGAATGGGGGTAGTGAGAAAGAGAAGAAAGTTTTTTCAAATTTTATCTTGTTTTTTTTTTTTAATCATTGGGTTTTTTTTCACTAAGATATTTCCCTTGAAAGCATCTCTCTCCCCAAACCCTATCCCCACTGCTGAATCTTCCCATACAAAAATAAAAGCTAGAGAATGAAGTATCTGAATCTGATCACGTAGGTGACATAGTAGATAGAACATTGGGCCTGGAGTCAGGAAGACTCATCTTCCTCAATTCAAATGAGTCCTTAGACACTTACTAATTATGTAACCCTGTTTGCCTCAGTTTCCTCATCTATAAATGAAATGTAGAAGAAATGGCAAACCACTCCAGGATCTTTGCCAAGAAAACCTCAAATGGCATCACAAAGGCTTGGACATGACTGAAAGACTGTACAATAACAACAACAAGCTATCTGATCAAAAAGCATCTGTTATCCTACCTTTTTATTCAGAGGATAAAAGAGGTTTTTCATTATTACTTCTCTGTGATCAAGACTGGGCTTCAGTCAGTTTTTAGAATTATTTTATTTTACATTGTGCAAGTCATTATGTATGTGAATTTCATGTTCTTTTCTTGGCATTAGGTGATTCATGTTATCCCAGTTTCTCTGAATGTCTCATGTTTTCTTAAGGCACAGTGGTTTTTCATTAATTATATAGCACAATTTGGTTAAACTGTACTCAAACTGGGGGCTCTAGCTTTCTAGTACTTTGCTATTGTTACAAGTGCTGCTTTAAATATTTTTGTATATACACGATCTTTCCTCTTTCTTTGATGTACTTGGAGTTTATGTCCTATAGAAGCATTTCTGAGCCAAAAGAAATGAATAATTTTAACCATTTTTGTGAAGTTATGAATTGTTTTCCAGAAAAATTGAACCATTTCAGAATTATGCCTTTGATGTATTACACCCCTTGTATTCCCATACTACTTTCCCACACTGGCTTTTTTTTCTTTTGCCACGTACACATTAAGGTAGTTTCAATTTGCCTTCATTATACTATTGGTTTTTATAGCCATCTTTCTTATGCTTATTTCATAAGAGATGTTATTTGACTTGACCTGGTTTACACAATTACAAAGTTTCAAGTTGAGGATCCAAACCAACGTCTTTTGAATCTAAGGTCACTTCTCTTTCCCGCATACCACAGATGCCTCTCCCAACAAGACTTATAGACATGGAGGGAAACCACAAGTTTTGGCACTGGCTTAAATACAGCAAAAAACAAAAGAGGTGAGTAGGGATTATTTTTTTCACTTGTGCTTCTGATGGATAAATATAATAAAGACATCAACATGGACCATTGTGATTTAGGGAAAAGACATTGTCGCCTTCTGTCACTTTTAATACAGAGGTTCTCAAACTTATTTAGCCTACTGACCCTTTTTCAAAACAAGTTATTCAGTGGGCCCCTGGAAATCTACTTTCTTTAACCCTGAAATGATTTTTGAAATTTGAAACATTTCAAAACAATATAAAATATTTTTAAATGATGCATCTTATATTTAACAATTCATTGTAAATTTGTTGGTTTTTTCCTGCATTGAAATTTTGATGACACAATATTGCATCATACAACCATAAAGTATTGTATTATAAACAAGTCATTACACACACATATTCCTGATGATGCATGCTGGACTTGCTTGTTAACACCTGTTGGCAGACTTGACTACTGATAGGTTATAACTTGCATTTTTTGTGTTTGTTTGGAAAATAATGTAATCACTACAACTTTAACTGTTACACAATGATGAAACATGTATAAATGTTTTTTCAAAAATTTCTTCTCTTCTTTCCTTATGCTTTTACCACATCTTTATTTTTATTCAGTGTCCCCCAATTGTACCCAAGTCTACTCCTGTCCCCCTGGACACTCTTAAGGGGGTGGTATCACCCACTTTGGGAACCTCTGTTTAATGAGTCTTCCTTAGATTAATTTACATTTCATTGTAGTGAAGATGTTAGTATTGAGTAGGATGCATGGGTTCCCCATGTCCAGAGACTGCCTTGGCCTTGCTGAAATGGGTTTTGAAGGCATAGAAGAGCTGTAAGAAGTTAAACTGGATACAAGGTAGTTCTAACCATAGTTCAGATACTTTTCTTGGACAAAGACTTGCATTCAGTATCAGAAACAGAAAGTCCCAAGGACAGACCCTAATGTTCTTGTGGCAGAACTCTGCCTGGCTTTTTCTTACCTACACTCCCTGGGGAGATGTAGAACAATGAAACTATTTTGTCCTGCTCATATCCAGGAGAGGCTGCTTTTCGGTAGCAAATGTGTAGCAACATGGACAGCAGATGACCTTGAAGAAAGAGATGAAGAACAGAAGCTGGGTACAGAGAGTTGCTCAGTGACTGAGAGATCCTGGGCATTTCCTGAGTGCAGAGCGAAGATGTGATGCTGCCCTGCTGAGAGAGAATGTCACCAGAGGTGATCCTAAAGATTCATAAGTGAGTTGCCCCGAGTATGAGTATATTTTGGTTACGTGAACATATTTTGGTAACCTCAGCATACTCGTTCCTGGGGTATACTTCTTGGTACGCGCTCCTTCAACATCCACAGGTGTTCCCTGCACACATCTCTCTCAACGAATGTGCTCTGGTCACGAAGAACACTCTACGTGAGTCTTTGCTTCCCTTTAAGTGGTATTATTATTACAGTATCTGTTACCCTTGTGCTTTGGGGATGGGGAAGGGACAACTTTCATTTTCATTTGATTTGTTATGTTGTTTGATTGATGAAATGTATTTTGTTTAAGCTAATATGTTCACTGATTGCCTGGTAAAAACAAAGTGATCAGTGACTGCGTCTGAGAGACATAGTTTGCATGGCTGATGACCCAGGATGCATTGACCCTGGGATTTTTTTCCCAGGTCCCAAGTATTAATGAGGTGCCTTTCAGGCTACATTCCTAGAGGGTTTGAATAATTTTTATTTGTATTTCCAAGGATCATGATTTGGTGCCTGGAATGCCTCTTGTCTCAGGTGTATAATATGGTTGTCCTTTGTGAATTTTATGGGTCACCAACTCTGGAGATACATGACCTTTTACAAAAGTTCTTTTTGTTTAGGTTTTGCCTTTGGTTTTGCCAAATAGTCATGTTCCTTGAAGCCTCCTCTCACTAGTGAATCTTCCAGTGCAAGAAAGGAAGGCAAACAACAGGGTAACTGCATCAAACAATTAGCATCTGTAACCTCTCCTTTTTACTCAGTGGATGGAAGAGTTTTTCATTAGGACATCAGTCACTGTTAGCATTGTTTTATTTTACTTTCTTACAGTCATAATGCACATGATTCTTTTGGTTCTGATACTTTTCTTTCTATCAGGTGATTGACTTTTTTCCCATTTTTTCTCTTTATTTTTCATTGTGTCTTCAGGAACAATAATATTTTGTTAATTTGCTGACACAGTTTTGTTCTGCCATTTTCCAAAGCAATGGATAACCTCTTTCTTTCCAGTGTTTTGTTACTACTAAAGTACTGCTCTGATTATTTTTGTATGCAAATAATCTTTCCCCTCCGACTTTGACTTGACCAGGACTCACATGGAATTTCTAACCTGGAGTCAAATAATTTCTTGCAACAAGGATTTGCCTTTTCCACTAAATTTTGTTAGTCCATAGAATAAACTTAAACATGTGCCTTGAATTCCATTCTGCCTGCCTTTACTTGCCTTCATTCAGTTAGAAGCTGGGAATAAATAAGCTGTTATCATGCTTCTATGTATTTTGTTTTGTTGTTTTTTGGGGGGGTTTGGGGGGTTTAGGTAGTGGGGTTAAATGACTTGCCCAGGGTCATACAGCTAATAAGTGTTATGTGTCTGAGGCCAGATTTGAATTCAGGTCCTCCTGAATCCAGGGCCGGTGCTCTATCCGCTGAGCCACGTCGCTGACCCTATCGTGATTCTATGTAGTAAGGGCTTTCTGGCCACAATTTCTTAGCTGTACAAGTGACAGTTATAATGATGGCTACCACAGTTTTTGAGGGTGAAAAAAGTGTCCAAGTGTTCGAAACCACTGAGTTTATGGTCTCGTGAGTATACATGTTTAGAACTTTTTTTTTTAGGTTGTTTGCAGAAGGAATTTTGGCTACCATCATACCCATAGGATTACTTAGTGGAGACCTGAGATATGATCCCTGACAAAGTGATGACATCACGAAGTCCTGCCACACCAGAGTTATGTTGCCTTAGGCATATGTGTGTCCATGTTACATTTATTTCTTCACATGTAACCTAGCCACACGTATTCCTGGAGTATACCCATTCCTCCATATTTCCTAGCTACAAGTGATTCCTGTATGTATGCTCTCCCTTGGTTAATGAGTTCTCACATAATAATTTTTGCATATGCCTTTTCCTACTTACAGCTTGTTAAACTGTAGGAAAAAAAATATGCCTTTCACATTTTAGGGTGTGGAAATAATTTTTCTTGTTATTTTACTTTCATTTTTATTGACTAAATGTCTTTTGTCTGAACCCATGTGTTCTTTGGTTGCCTGAAAAACAAACCTACCAATGGCAGCTTCTGTGCTACCTTTTTCAATGGATGCTGACCCATAGAGTACTTTAAGCCTGGCATAGGTTTTCACGACTCACAACAGGACGAGAGTCTCCCTGAGGATACATAAATGGAAAGGAATCCAAAACTGAGGTATTCATTTGTATTTCAATGGACTGTGATTTCTAGACAGTAATATTTATAAACTCAGTTTTATAATATGATTGTTATCGTTGAAATATAAGTCACTGTCTTAAATCTATTAAAACTATCTTTGCTTGACATAACTTTTTGTGATTTTCCTTCCCTGCCCTCAGCTGCAAGCTATGGAACAGAAGAGTTGTTATCCTGCCTTCATGCAGGAAATGTTTTCTAGTCATTCATAGTATATGGTAGACAAGGTGACAAGCAGGTGACCCTAAACAGAGTAAGCCCAAAGGATGTTTGCTGGGAGAAGCTTGACGATGTTAATTGAATTTGTCATCGCAGCGTTGAGGCCTGATGCTCAGCAGAGGGTTCATTTTACCAGAAGACAATGGCAATCCTATACCATCAAAATTGAGTTTCTCTGTGTGTGCATGTGCCCTGGTGACATTTCTCCACATTTGACCTGGAAATTCTTGGTCCTGGTATACCACTTTGTACAAATTCTCTCCTGGTCACATGTGATCTATCTACCTGTGGATGCCCTTCACTACTTGTGGTTTCTTAAACTATGCATAACCATTGGGATGCTGGGGGCAGCAATCTTCTACTCTTATTCTATTTGCTCTGCTAGAAACGTTTTATATTTGAAATAATGTGTACTCCTTTTGCCTCTTAAATGAAAATCTGTTGGTAGAGGGTCCTGAAAGATGGTTTTGAATGGGTGATGACCCTCAGAGTGCTTAACATATTTTCTTTTTTCTTTCAGCTGACAATGATTTAGTGCCTTAAATATCAGTTATTTCAAGAATATAACTGACTATTTTTCTCTTGTTATTAGTATCACAACCTCAATTTACTTCTATACCATCTTATCAAAGATGTATTTTGTTGTCTTTTTCTTTGTTTTTACACCAAAATCTACTTTGATGATAGCCCCGCTTATTAATCCTCCCTTGCTAGTGCTTCTGTGTGTGTGTATGTGTGTGTATGTATGTATACAAATATTACGTATTTCTGCAAATATGCATACACACATGGAGGGGACAGTAAATTAAGAGTTGTGGTGGCACAGAATTGCCAGTAGGAATTAAATGGGACTTAGAAGATGGGAATTCCAAACCCAAATAAGATAGTCTTTCTTGGTCAAAAAGTTGCATTCAATATTGGAAACAGTCTATCAAAAAGAAAGATTTAATCTTTGCTTGGGGGCATTCTGCCTGACTTTTGCTTAGTGGACCTCAGTAGATGACTTGAAGTCCACAAGGTAGTTGAATAGAGAAATCCTGTGACTTAATGAGATCAGCAGTATTTCTTCAGAGGGAGCAGAGGATGTCACAGTTATGGAGCATCAGATTTGGGTTTGTCCAGGAACCCCTACACTCTGGGACCACGTTCCTCTACGTGTGACTGAGGTACATGTTTTCCTGGTATATTTTTTCCACTGTTGTTACTGGAATGTTTACCCTGCAGAAGTGTTCTGCATTTACACATGATTTATTACGGTGTGCCCTTTTACTGGTGGTACGTTAAGTATACCAAATGGAGATCAAGGGTGGCATGGGACTCTTCTGTTGTCACTTTGTTTGTTACGCCACTTGATTAAATGCCTCACGCTTGGACTAACGTGTCCTGTAGTTGGCTGGCAAAAAGCCATTATAGCAGATTCTGAATTAAAAATTTTTGGGTGCTGACCCTGAGACTTATTTGCACCTAGGATACTTCTTCTATATTCTCAGTTATGAGAGTGCAGTGTCCTAGGGGCTCCATAAGGAATTTAAAGAAGTGAATCACTGTCTAATGTATTTCTATGGATCATGATTTTCCCCTGAGATATCTGCTATTTCAGGAATATAATATGTTTTTTCTTATTGAACTACTTAGGCCATTGTCTTAAAACCCATCACAGAAGTTTGTTTCTTTCTTGCTGCCTTGTTTTCCTAATGAAGTCATCTCCCATGGAACCTAGCCATACAGGAGGGTCATTGTGAGTGGTCAAGGCTTCAGCATCTGTCTCCCACCACCTTTTTATGAGAGGAGGTAAGTGTTTTTCATTATTAGCTCTCTAGGATCCCAGCTAGTCATTTGAGGTAATTACATTACCAGAGGACACTGGCAATCCTGCAACAGAAGAGTGGGGCTCCCCAGGATACGTGTATGCCCTAGTGACACATCTTACCACATTTGATCTGAACGTGAGTATTTCTGGTCTATGTTTTTTTGTTTAAATTCTCTGATCATAGGTATTTCTTGTATGTCCTGCCTTTGTGTGTATACACAACTAAGCCCTTCCTACCTTTCCTTTATTTGTGGATTTGATTATGCATTGAATTTTTAATTAGCCATATGTGATCTCTACATGTGTCTTTCTCTGTGGGAGATGATACCTCATGTACCTATGGGGTCTTCTATTATCATTTTATTTGCTGTGCTGCTTGATTTGAACTAATGAGGGCTCTTCTGTTTGAACTAATGAGGGCTCTCTCTTTAGCTAGTAAAGGTAAGCCCATCAGTGGAGTCTCCTGCTTTTAGTGTGTATAGAGCTATGATGCAACATACACATATACACACATACATATATACACATGTATACATATAAATGTAAAGCAGAATTCCTTGGTAGAAAACTAAGATGTAAGAGCCATCAGAGAGATGATGTCACCAGAAGATATACATATAGATATAGACATAGACATGTACATATATATAGATAGAGATAGAGAGATTTATATATGTATACACACATATACATTTATATGCACCTACACATATATGTTTATATGTTTATATGTTTATATATATACATGCTTCTGTGAGGTTTTTGTCTAGAAGATACATCTCTCGAGCCACAAAATATGAACAGTTTCATTGAATTTTCTTGCGTAATTCCTAATTGTTTCTGGAAGGGTTGAACTGATTCACAGCTCCACCTTCAGT